TGGACACCAAACGGCCGTTAGACATGTGAGCCTGAGTGAACGCAAACTTATATTTGATCTTCGTGTCAGGGTTCTCTCCCTTAAGACACATTAGGTGCCATTTAATGACAAGGAAAATTTCTTGAAAATTTCTAAATTGGACTACAGTGAGCTAATAGAATAATCATCATAGCAAAACCAGTCTAAAATAGTTAGCGGATTAAACATTAATACCTTAAAAAAACACGTTAATGGGTCTGCCTTGAACACGAACTGGTAAAGGTAAAAATACTAAAAACTAGGAATTGTCTGTATAAGGCAGAGAAGCACTCGGTAAATAGATTACATGTGCAAGATGTGACACTTTTACGATAGTCTTATTACAAACAGGACATAATGGTCTGTCCCGCCTACCCAACTTAACTACACAGTGGGCCTTCAGCAGTTTTGGTCAATATTTCTCATAAAATGCAAATAAAATTCCCGCCATTCAACAACATTATCATTTGTAAATAAATAAAACAAACTGATCCTGTGTGAGTGTAGATCATAAACAGCCATGTTGTTGGTCCCTGATCAATAGCCCTGTGTTCTTCCCATTCAGCACTGGAAATCTGCGAGAAAAACCTTATTGACCCATAGAGAATGCTCCCTCTTCTAAGCCTGGGTGAGAATGTGGTACTAAACCCAGAGTAATCCATGGCCATATATGATATTACTCATCATAATCAAAATAAATGAATATTCATTAAGTCTGCACATGCATGACGTGAGAGGAATCCCTTGTTCAATGTGAATGTGGTAAAAACTTATAAATGCGTTATTTACATGTATGCTAATGTTCTAATTGAAATTTGCATACTTTGTGATTGTGGCTGCAAACATTTTAATATGAAAAGCAAGGAGTTACAACTGCCTCCATTTTTGTTCATGTTCCTTAGCATGATCAACATCAACAAATAAGAGGCCAATCATTCCATCAAAAAAAAATTTTTTCAATCAAACTTTTCAAAAAAATTTTCTCACTACCCTAATTCAATGGTCAAAATTACTCTCACGAGAACAATTTATCATTCTGCTTTTAAAAAAAAACCTTATCATAGAGGTGAATTTATTTTGGATATTTGCTAACAAAGATATAGGAAAGAAACTGATAAAAGCTGACTATCGGTCCACTCTTTAAAATACCTATGTAACGGGTATAGGGCACACCATTTTGCATTAGAACAATTTAGGGGATTTCTGATTAGGAGTGATTTAAATATCCCGTCTTTCCTGAAATTCCATACGGCACTATGGTTGTTTGGTTCAGTCAAGGTGTCCTAACATATCTAGGTCTCATCTTTATATCCAGTGTTTAATAAAAGCGTTTTCTATAGAGATAAAACATGTTCTCATTGGACTTGGTGAAAATTTCGTTTGCACACTTCACACAGAGACCAAGGTAAATGTGGCCAGGAGGAAAAAAAATCCATAAATTTGCTATTTCATTTCACCGTTCAAAAGTGAGGAAATTAAGGTCTCATGGACATATTTCTTTTTCCCCTTCCCCTGAACGTGCGACATACGGAGAGCAAATAATCCATCCGCGTTGCATTTCTACGTTGTCACGATTTGCTGGACACGACCACTACAGCCTGTAGCTTCAATAAACAACAGGGCTTTATACATACTTGTAATGTATTTGCCTTGTTATAGTAAAAAACCAAGCAAATCAACACGCTCTCTTACAAGCAACTGAATCACGTCCTGATGTAGGTCTAACACAACCAAAAACCCCTGTCCTTTAAACATGATTGCCGAGCCATACCTGTGACTATCTGTTCATCAATTTTTCACCTTCATTTTTTTTTTATGTTCACGAGTTCTTCTGTGTTTAGTTTTTAAATATTAAAATGTTGCTAATGGTCCTTGGTCACAGACGTTTGGAGTTTATGGCCCACATTTTTATGAAACAAAACATTTAAATACCCATCAAAATTCTGAAAATCAATGTTGTTTGAGAAGGTGTGACCATAAAATAGCCTACAAGTGATGAAACCTCTGCATATTTAACTGTCTCCGACAATTTATCATTAATTATCCTGAAGGAAGGGTTGATCTTCCTGGCTTGTGTTTTCTACAATAAAGTGTTCCATGTGTCAAACTCTTGGTAAATAGCTATTCCAAAATGTGATTAATTTGAAAGGAAATCTCTTCAAAATAAACAAGTCTTGTGGATGGAAGCTGTTCCTCTATATATAAACGGGTAATATGTCCAATTACTGCCTACTTATTATCTATAAACAAGGCTTTTGAACACATACACAGAATTCTAAATCTGCTAAGCAAATTGGTTTGATGTTTCATGGATTAGAAACTGACAAAAAATCTTATTTAAGATTCTTTCACTTAAAAAATAGCAAAGTAGCCATATGGCATGAATGCAGTAACATGTTTACATAGTACAGCTGCAGAGCAGTGGGTTTTTTTTGCCTGAGTTCCTAGTCCTAGTTCCCATATATTAATTGGATCTTTCTACCCCCAACAAACTTCTGGAAGAGCTTGCCTTGCACTTTATTTTTTTTTCTCTTTTTATCTGGCTTACAATAAAATCTGCTCAATTATAAAAAAAAAAAATCCCAATAATATCAGATTAATGCAGACCTCTTTTATGATATCATATTGTAGAGGAAATTCGATGCAAACAGCATAATTTGGGATTCTGATCAGTGTTTCTACACGTAACGTAAGAAGACATGGTTAAACTTCAAGTCGAAGCAGTTTACATAATATGAAGATTTTCTATACTCCCTAAAATTACCCCCACACCTGTCTTATTAAAGCCAAAATGTGACTGGAAAACACAGTCCTTGGAAAGAGTGTTTCACAACAAATAACAGATTCAGTGGTCCTTCAATACCAGTATTCTCTCCTTCCACTATCAGTGATATCAGAATATGAGATTTAATTGCTCTAGCAGTAAAAAGATGTCTTGCGAGATAACCTTATGAAAAAAGGGCAAAACGGGACTGTCTCCGTACAATGAAATGTTTATCCTGCAATTATTTAATGACATAGAATTATTCTTTGCAAAGTCCTCTATAGATAAATTCATGAATGATCCATTAAATCGCTGCTTACGGTGCTTTGTTGCCTGAAATCTCAACCCCTCACTTATGCTTTACCCTGCAACAAAGACCCTTCTGGCCCTTTTCAGAGAAATGAAAGCCACTTATGTCGAAAAAAAAATTTCTCCTCCTAATCGTTAATGCAAGCACTATGCAAAATAGGCCTGCAAGGTCACATACCAGAAAATTATAGATTGAAAAAATTCCAAACAAATATTGAGAGGTTCAGCTTCACCACTACTTAATCCCTGCCTGTGCCACTTGAATTCAGCCCCAGGGATAGTGACAGAAAAATTTTCTCTAAATTGTTCTATTTTGATGGCAGTAAACTAAGACCTGAACTATTGTCCGATGCCAGAGCAATTTTCAGTATATCTTGACTTCAAGAATTTTTTGTCTCTTTTTCTGCACAAGTTAATTGTTCCGATTTTCTGTATTATTCTCTTTGTGCCATTATGTTTTTCTATCTAAAGATGCCTGTCGCCATGCTATGTGTCAGTACAACGCGATTATAGTTCCTGTAATTATACGTAAATTCTCTGTCTTTTCAGGTCTTTCCAGTAGCTCCAAAAAGTATTATATACAAAAATTAATATGTGACTGATAAGATTTCATTAAGTGAAATGAGCTTGAAATGGTTCAAAACCTTTTGTAATCATTTGAAAGAACAAGTATATTTCTGAAAAATGGCGACACAATACATAGGAGGTGATAGTTTTCCCACTATTGATTATAGGTATGATACAAGCGTCAGTTTCGGAGGTCGGTCAATTATAAGAAAACACAAGTTTAATATGAAGATTTTATCAAGAAATTTTATACCCCATACCTATGGCTAGTCCATTCACAGTAATCTGATGGCAGCAATTCAACTCAAAACTCTGAAAGCCCTTGTAACAAAGCCGGCACGAGGGATATCATTTTCACACGATATTTTGCCTAGATTAACCAGATAGCATTTTAAACTATTTTTTTTCACTTTTAAAAAGGTAAAAAATGCACCCAAACTGGAAATGAATTTGATTAATGTACATCAGTGTCCTGTCATAATCATCAAAAAAATATGGAAGACCTTCAATTTCTTCAAATGATTTCCGTTTAAGACTCAGACAAAAATTTATAATGGTTTACTCTATGATCCTGTCAAAAATGTCCTCTTTTAAGCAGAAATCTGTAAGGACAAATTCCTTTTTTATTTCCCCTATGAAGTCATGATATATTTCAATGTAAAATCAGGCACTTTTACAAAGTATGGTTATCTAATTTTTTTCACCGACGTATGTTCGATTACAATAAATGTATATTTAATCCTCCTTTACTATTTCCCATTCACAAAATCTAGGTGACCCAATACTCTGTCACAACAGATGCATTTCATAAATCAAAAATACTAGTCCATTAACTTTTAAGAAATCTATAAATGTTTTATTTTCAGAAGTAATATTCCCTTAACAGCTGAACTTTTGTGCACTCCTATGATAAGTTTTGAGGTTGGTTTGTTTTTTTTTTTTTAATTTTTGAAAAGAAAATTTCTTTTCTAGAGCATGCACCTGACTTAACAATTATACATATCATTCGTCCCCTGTATATGAACAGTGTGGAAGAACACAGCAGATGTGAAGAAATGGATAGCTGACCGAGACAAATTCCCTGATCCCCGCAGATAAAGGGGTCCCTATCAACCCCACATCTCCACACAAAGCCTTATCTTTCTCCCAAACTTCCTACTCAATCACTCATCTCACAAACAAACCCTCAAATATACACATTATTTCAGACACAAACCTAAATAAACCTCAAAGTCTACTTGGACATTTAGAAAAGTGGTAACGAACTTTCTGCACCTCATAACTATTTAAAATCTTCCTTTTCAGTACTTTCCTTTTCTTTTTTTAGGATTTTTCTACTTACCAGTTATTGACTTGGAGAATAGTTAACCCGGTGTCCTGGGCCAATTGCTTTTTCTGCTCTTCTGAGGGATATGGGTGCTGCAAAAAAACAGAGGAGACATTTATGACTCTTATTAAGACTTGGCTGCTGGGGGGTGCAGGTTTGCAGTCCGCTAATGCAGTGTTATGCAGAAGTCAAAAACAAGCCTCTTGACTCTCTATTTAGCTATCAATTGCTTTGAAAGAATTTTTTTACATGTCTGTTATTCTGCACGAGGAACGCAGTCAGCATTTTCAATTGGTTTATTTTTTAAATTTTTACCTATGAAGTACTTTAAAAGTCATATGTAAACTTTGGTTCATGACTAGGAGGAAACAAGATAATTGTTGCTCGTGATGGAGTACCAGAGATTTACCTACGACCCTTATGTTTTGCTTTTGCGAGTAACTGCCATCCAAAACATGTCAATCCAAGAGAAAAGTGACGAAAATAAATTCTACTTAAATTCCAATTTTTTTTCTCAAAACTGCAGCACTCTTGAATCATCTGTGTTTGCAAAGAGAGGTTTGTGCTTAGATAAAAGCATGTCACTTCTATACCTCAATGAGACTGTTTACCGATGTGTGTAAATAAAATATCCATTAAATGTAATTGTTCCATTTTTTGAAATACTTGCAATGTATTTAAATACTCTTAAAAAAAACATATAAATGATATAATTTATTGTTCTTGGTTAGAACATTAAGAAAACTTAAAAGTATCTCCTTTCTCGAGATTATGTATCAAATAAGAAACACTGAAGACCCCTAATCTTTTCCTCCTGATGTTTCTCATTTCATTACGAAGTTAAAATGAATGTGGTTAAATTGTCAAAGTGATCAATTGATCATCAAATTGTTCGAAACCTTGAATCATAGGACCTAATTTGGTAAACTTCACTAACAAAAGGCAAACTATTTGGTGAAGAAAGGTGCTTATTTGGCCAAGCTAGCCACAGCAATTTAGTGAGAAATCAGGGTCCAAGGGTGTCAATAATGGGTCACATTGTCACAGGTCTGAGATGATAATGACACAGCTGTCAGGGTCTGCTAGATTTATATCCTGTCAAAGATTACCCAAAATGCAAAGCTCCATCACCGTCATTATACGTGATGCACTAGGTACAAATATGTGCACTTTTTGTTTCATTCTTCAAATTCCATGGCAACTCAGACAGCAAAACATTGACAATGTAATGAGCATTGTATTTAGGCCTCAGTTTTTTTAGGACTTATGACACTCTGTGAGGAGTAGGATTGATTTATAGGTGTCAGATGTGTGCAATGAAAATGACCATCCAGTATATGGCTTTCACATTCACAAAAGGCCCAACAAAGGAATCATCTCACACACTCAGAAATATAAACAAAAGCACAAAACGGGGGCCTATCTAATCTAATATCAATACCCAAGCTGTCAGAGTGAAGAGCTCATCCATTTTGTCAGACAAAGACCGGGCCCCAGTGGTGCTGTGGGAGAGAGAGACGTCCAGTAACGTCACTGACCACCGACAATACCCTGACACTCCACCAGCCATGATCCTCATCTTGTCACACTTGGCTTTTAAATTATCAACACGAATTACCCTTAAGACCCAGCAGGTTTTGGCCAACACTGGGCCCATTCAGGTGATACTGTGGAGAAAACAGACATTTTATTACTGGCCAAAGATTCCTCATTCACACATAACACGTGGATAATGTTCCAAAGCTGAGATAAGTAAGAGCCCATTCCGTCACCCCGGACTGCCAACGAGGTGCCATGGAGGGGGGAAAATCCTTTCAAAGCCCAGCAAATTATTGTCAGCTTTCCCCCCCTCATGATGAGCCGATGAGGTATAGCTGTTACAGTAATGAGGAGAATAAATAGTTCAATCTGATCATAATCAATAATGCACCAATTAAAATGATAAATCACCTCAGCTTCAGAGGTTGAACTGTTCTATGGATTATTTCCAAACATTGGTTTTTATCTTTACGCCTTTTATAGGGAGAGATCGAAGCATGCTAGGGGTTTCCGGATGTTAAAAATTTGTGTAGAGTTTTCTATTATGCTTAAACTGTTTATTCAATAAAAAAGGTAAAGTCAAAAATAGAAGGAGTCGTGCACAAAGTATTGGTCTTGATAGTGAAACTCGGAGACATTGGGAAAAAAATCTCTGTTTGTTTAGCCACTCTGTTGAATAGTCTTGACTTAGTTAGCCTCCCACCCCCTCTGTTATTGGAGCAGTATGTTCAGAAAAACCACAAACACTATGTGGTCACTATTGAATAAGGTATACATTACAAGTAATTGGAAAATATTGGCACAAGTTCCCACAGCAAAAACCTGCAAGTAATTCCGCTCAATCACCCATGGTCATCAATCACCTTACGCCTGATCTACGCTTCCTTCATTCATATTTCCTCTCACTTTAGGGTGTAGCATATATTTGTTTCTTCTTTTTTTTTTTCTTTCCTTTTTTTGTTAGTTGTTGTTTTCTTGTTTTTGTTATCATTGGGTTTTTCTTTTCTTTCTTTTTTTTTTTTTTTTTTTTTTTTTACAATTTTCAGTTACCTTTTAGTGTTTTACATTTTCAGTATTAATTTGGGGGGTGTTTTTTTTTTTTATTTTTCTGGATCCTGTCTAAGATTTACAGAAGAGTACATTTCCCCTGAGTAATGGCCGACCCCTGTTATGACCTGACAACACAGGATAAGTATTTCTGCAGCTGACAACTCTTTGTTGTTTGCAGTCACTGTTCTTTAGTCAATGACCTTGCGTCACAGAGACACTGCTTGTCTGCCTTTTCTCTCCCAGCCGTTCCATAATTTTCACTCATGCATGAAAGAGCCAAAAAACATGTAGACAAGAGCTTCAACTTGGCTTTTTATTTTCTGGCACACTTTAGAAAGCTTTAAATTATGTGATGTCACTGTACAGTGAGAATTCTCATTAACCCATGACCAGATGACACCCTACCCCCATAAGTCTTCCCCTAGGTCTATCTACCTCAGCAAGATCATCTCGCATGTCACATTCATGGATATACCCGGTCTGGGTGCTCCATCACTACGTGGTACCAAGGAGTTACCCAGACACATTTTCTTTGGGGGAAGTTTGATATCCTAAAAGTCAATTTTCATAATGCAATGTGACTTGCCTGTGTAAAGTACCACTCAAAATATTGAAACCTGACACCAGCGTCTTTTGTTTGCTTGTGCAATTATAGGAAAACTATCCTGGCTTGCGAACGGCCACAGGTATTAAATGTTTTCGTTGAGGACAGAGAAGGAAATGTTAGAGGCAAAACTAATATTTTGATTATGCGTCAATTTTCTTTCGAGATAGAAAGGTCAACTCTGTATTCCATGATGATACTATCAACAGAATCAGCAGATAAAGTTTCTTATTGGAATTTTGACGTCCCATCAATTCCACCGGCCATATTTAATTCCTTTGTATAGGCAAAATAGCAGCCTACTGCACCAGGACCCTAATTATCCATTGTTTTTTCTCCATTGCCTCTGTGCTCCCCATCCCTATGTCGCCTGATATTAACATTCGGATTACCAATGATATGACACCATATCAAAATCCAATATTCCTCAAGCCTTCCTTCAGCCTCCGAATATTGCCATCCATCATATTTAGACAGCTTTCATTATAAATGATATCTTTTCAGATGTATCTACTAATTAATGTAAAATGCATTTCCGGAACCTGGTTTAACTTCTTTCTCTAACTTCCCTTGTTTTTGTGAACTGAACTCACCCCCCTACCCTATTATCAGTCATTGCTCCTTATCTTTGTTTTCATTTTCTTTTGTGCTGACAGAAATTTTGAAGCAGGAAAATTTTGGAATGAAGAGTGGAATGTTTGATTAACACTTTTTTTTCTGCACTGAAAATGATCAATGACTTTTTATCTTTTTGGAGTAAACAAACACAAATTCTAACTTATCTATCTCTTAAAACAAAACCTTTTTTGTAGGGTAATGTGCTGTGATGAGCTGAGTGTTTCTTGTACCTAAAGTTTTTTTTCTTCCCTTTAAATTTGAGGTGTTCTTCCAATTCATCATCAACATTCAGATTTTTTTTTTTATATAAATGTGATGAGGAAATAAAACTAGTTAACATTTACACTAAAAAATAAAAGTCATTGTTTTTCCAATGAATGTTATATAATCTGCCAAATAAATATTTCCAGACTTTTTTCAATTAAAAAAAAAACATTAAATATATCATACATTTCATTAAAATCTTATCAAAATGAAACTCAAACCAAACATACCAACATGTGATTTTTTTTCAGAGAATTACTTCATATATTTATGCATTTTTTGTTTTTTCATTAAACTAAAACATTTTTTTTTATTTAAAAATATTTTTAATTTACAACAATAACTGATATGACTTACTGTTAAATGCTGAAAGAGCCAAGCTCTCATGATATTTGTTGCCACTTTTGGGAAAATGCCCCTCTTTTTCTGACGTTTTGAATTGGCACGGTCCTCAGAATCTTCATCTGCAGTTCCCTCCCCTGATCCGACACTATTGTCTAGACCTTCCCCTGAAACAAAGAAATTAATAATTACAGACAGAAAATAAAAAATAACAATTCTATAATTATTTATATTATATTATAAGTATTGTATACTTAGGAAACTTTCTCTTTAGTATCAATTATTTACTATATACTAAGAAATTTTTTTTTTAAAGTCAATTTGAATTTTTTTTTTCAACATAAAAAATTTACTTTTTTTCTGACAACAACTGTTTAAAATGTAGCAAGTATATCAATTGATTTCCTTATTTAATTTTATAAATCTTATTTTTAAACACAATTTTTTAGCCAATGAATTCTACATTTTTAGCAAACCTAAAAAAAAGGAATAATTGACTTCCCCTCTACTCCTTGTGTTTATCTTGTAATTTATTGGAGTCTCTATTTTGATTTTGTTTATTTATTTTGCCTTCAGACTAGTGTTTCTATTACAACCACCTACCCCGCCAGCCTATTGATTAAAGAATCAGTGCCGAGGGAATTTTCTAAGGAAAACCATCAACTATTCTGAACAAATTAAGATAAACAGCAGAAGTAGGGAATGACATCACCATACACACTAATTATTCCATTATGAGGGAACAGGATTTAACAGAAATTGCAATCACCTAAATTGCATAGAATTTTACCATTATGAAGTAATCAAGATTTATTCACAATATTGAATGTTTGCAACCTAACCTTTTTACTTGAACTCTGATAATCACTTAACTTAGAGCACTCAACACTAGTTATTTAATTCTTTACTTTTTTCTGATAAAATTGTCTAAAAAAATTAATTTAATTCAGTTCAAAACTTTTATTCAACGTAAAATTCTATTCTTCAGATGTAAATTTTTTTTTCTTATAATAATTTAATATCTCAATCATTACATAAATGGGATTATAAAATCATAAAATTTAAATAGGTCATAAAATTTCTTATCATTCTTTACAATTTATCCTTATCTTTAAAAAATATTTTTATGCCATTTTCAATTTTGAAAATGATGATTTTTTCAATTAAAGAAAAATTCTGATAGATAAGATAATGGTGCATAATTTTTCTTATGAAAGCAAAAGACGGGGAAAACTGAAAAATTTGTTAAATGAAGCCTAGCGTAAATTACTGGGGGAATTTTGGAAGGGTTACAGCCCCCCCCCCCCCCCCCCCCCCCGTGATGAGTCGTAACAGATTGGCTTGGATACGGCTAATCGACAACAGGACTAAATTACACCAACAAAAACCTTTATCCTGAATCGGGACAGACAAAATATACCCAAAAAAAACACAACTTCACTAATCAACGTTTTTGTAACTTAATGCATTTCCATTAAAATAGTAAAAATTCTTTAAAACTAAACCTTCTGGTATCAGCTAAGAAAAAAAAAAGACTTTGTCCTCAAACAAAGGGGGGGAGTGCAAAAATTGTCTACCCAAGCTGGAGCCTGGTTCTTGTAATGAATACAATGACATTTATGTGAAATTGGCCTGATCTAATAATGCTGGTCACCCATTGACTTGCCAATTCAATTACACAGTCCAAACCAGGCAAGGAATGATTACAAATTAATTGGAATCCTTTTCTAATCAAATATGCCATGGATATACATTCTCATTGGCTTGTTTGAAAATTTTGCATATAATTCAATAAAAGAAGCAATCTGATAATTCTGGTGGCAGTTTCGCCAGAAATGGTCATCAAATGCAATATAGTTTACATTATTTTCCAGTAAAACTTCATTTTCCTTGGCACTCAAGGTGAAGGAAAAACCATTTTGTGGAAACTTCATTACAAGACAAAAAGGAAATGACACATCTCCCAATGCTTTTGTCCAGTAATTTCAACAAATGTTTTTAATAAACTCTAAAAAGTTCACAAGAGAAAGGGGCCCAGCTAAACTTCTGTAGAGTGATTGGATCATGATAAATTCCCTTATCCTGCTTGCAATTTCTTCAAGTAGACTTGGTAACTAGACGTCAGGTTCAATTTTAGCAACCATCCATCAAAACTTGTCAAGCTCTGTATACATTTTATCCTCTTAGTTATTAGGGAAATTTTCTCTGGGTTTGTAATGAGTCTTGTTATGGTTTCTCTATAAAGTTCATTATTTCTCGATTTTGAAGTCTCGATCAATATGAATTAGTATTACATATTGTTGATGAACACAATTTAGCTAATGAATGGAAAAAGGAAATTTTCTAATTTACGACCATCATTAATGAAGCTAAAAACTTGCGGAATACCAACCATCCATATTGTAGTATTGCAACTGCAACTTCTCAGCCATATTTAATTCTAATCCAAATGCAATGAGACAAAATGCCCTTTAAAATGGTCTTTCTTTGCACAAATCCTCAGAAAAACAAAATTGGCTTTTTGGGGAAAACTGGAACACAAGTTACTCCATGTAATTATGAGATGTGAATAATTGCAGAGACTGTTTGAAAATGGGCTCCCAGAGGTAATGTCAGTTTCTCATCCAGGACTTGTCAATTGCAGGCGCTTATTCTATTTCTCACACACTGTGATGCCTCTATGACAATCTATGTCATAACAATCACCCAGGCCCAAGTCAAAACAACATCATTATTTTATTCAAACAGGGCTAAATGCCAGTTAGATCATTTTTGCCTGGTAGACAATAGGACATTGTATGTGCCTGTGCACCCTGCAGCAACATTTCTGTTTTTAGAATTTCCACAGGTTAATTTATGGACAATTACATCATTCATCAAATGCAGTGTTTGACATGTAGTGATTAATAGGATTATAAAATTCTATATTAGCAAATCAAAGCAGATGAAACAAGGATAGACTTTTTTTAACAACTAATTCATAACTGTCAATGTTTTCAAACAATTAATGAAATTTATCTTGGACATCTATCTATAACTTCTATGTTTTTTGCAGAACATTTCTCATTTAATCTTTCCTGTAAATTTAATTTTAGCCAAAAACTAACCAGTACAAAATTAAATATAGAAACATTTAAAGTGTTTTAAAAAAACATCTTTTTAAAGGAAGGCATATATTAAGCTGTGCCGGTAATCTACATAGCTTCATCTGGCTTCTCAAAAATAAAACTGTCAAAACCACATTAACATTTCTGGAGAGAAAAAAAAAAACTTAGGCTGCATGCATATTGGCTTTCCATGAAGGCTCTAAAGGTGAATTTATATCATGAATGCACAAAATAAATGACCCATTTAAATTTTTAACCCGAAAATAATCCTAGCCTAGTGTTTAAATGTTCTTCCAGTAAAGATATATTGATAATTATTTTGACATTTATAAAAAAAATGTATATATTTATTGAAATAAAAATAATTCTTTATGCATAGACAAAGTTCTTTCCCTTTATACAGATCACTCAGAAAAAAATATACCTCTGACTTTTTCATGAGTACAGATTCTTCGTATTGCTAATTTATCAGGCGTTGCCTCTTTTGCATTTTTTAAGAAAAATTCTGAGTGGATTAAAAAATGTGAAAAATCTCATCATGTGGGGTTTAGAATGAATATGGACTTGATAAGAATTATCAGACGAAGGTAATACTCAATTCCCTCTATGGATTCCATTCTTTCTTTCAAGCTTTTGTTATCAAGACTCAAATCAAGTGATGAGTTCCTTTTTTCAATACATATTATTTTGTAACTTGTTTCATCTGCATGTACACAGCATGAGTTGACAGGTGATGTAATTAGATGGGCGGAGCTTCTATAATATGCAGATTATCAACATGATCTTTTGACCTCAGGGGTTGGGAGTTAAATTTCAGTTTTACAAATGCAGTTAATCTGTGGATGTAGACAAAACAATGAAACAATGCACTTAATTGTTTGGGTTAATCAGTGCCAATCAGTGGAGGCATGATAAGGATATTGGAGGGGGTGATCGGGAGGGTTAATGGTGGAGCCAGTAATGGAGGAACTAGATAACACTGACCATTTACAATCAGACACAGATGTGGAAAGAGAGAGAGAGCCATGTCATTAAGTTGAAATCCACACCAGTTTTCCCAGCCATCCTGATCCTGGCCCAATGGAATGCTATTTCAATCGCGCCTGGAATTCCGGAGTTCCAGAATGTCAAAATGAGTTCAGAGACACCAAAACCCATAAACATCTTTAATTGGAAACCCAAACTTCGTTTATGTTGATACTGATCTTCCACAAAATGTACCACCTCTCAAGTCAAATAGTCAATTGTTTCTGCATCACCTCTAGATAAAATTTTTGTTCCTTTCCAAGGAATGCCAAAAATAAACATTTTCAAGAGATCAAAACTTTGGCAGTTGACCGCATTGTTTATACAGTGAAACCTGTCTTATCCGACATGCTGCGGGAAATAAAATCAATGTCGGATTAGACAGTGTGTCGGATTACCCAGTGTGGAATATTTCTGAGCATTATGATTAGTGTCAGATGACTTCACACCAAAAAAAAATTCATTAGGTTTAGAATGCACGAGTATTTAATTGTCAAAGTGTTTGCATAATTGTGTGTTTCTTTGTTGTATACATATACCTTCAGCTGAAAAGTTTCTTTGAGAAAAATTAAGCGTTTTGTTAACATTAACTAGTAAACTATGTTGTAATATACGACGATATTTTGAAATAGATGGAAGTGCCGATCCCGATGTTAAAATTTAATTTTTAGCATTTTACTCACTGTCCGTAGATATTAAAGAAAATATTTCGTCTACCTTTTCTGCATAGTGGCATTTTTTTTCTACACTTCATTTTTTAGCGATTTTTTCTCCATTGTTTACTTCTTATCATAGCCTGTGCTATTAATACCGTCACGCGACTTTTCATACAAACGGGACGTAACTCTAAAACATTGTGATTTCGATTGAATTTAAATCAAACAGACGTAATATTTTAAATTTAATGGGCAACTTAAAGTGGTATTTTTTGTTCCATGCAAATCTTTCATGTACACAGTCTCGCTTGATTCAGTGTATATTAACCCGGAAAATAAACGTTTTCTATCAGAAAAGATGTAGCCTTCAAATCGTGT